CTGTGAGAGTGCCTTGGTAATGGAGAAAAGTTGCTTATTACTAGCATTCTGTAAACATAGCCAGCGTAGATAAAGTAACAGAAAGGAGAATTTATTTATAGAAACTTGTGTGAATGGCTCACTTCTAATGTCTCTGACTTCAAAATCAAAAGCACCTGAGTGAGTGATTCTACCCAGCAATGCCTGATAGTGCTAAGAGTTAATCACAAGCCAACTGCAGTGCCTCACCTCCTCTGTCTCTATGCTTCTTTTTGAGGGTCTAAAGCTGTGAAAGCTTGTAAGTAGAAAAATCATTTGTTTCCTCGGAACCTTAGAATGCATTGTCCCCTTGCTTAGCAATTTGCTGTCTAGTGACCAAGTATGAGAGGTCTATGGTGTTTCAGGACCATGGAAAGCTCATGGCTTCAAAAGATGCTGCAGTCATTTCCAGAATACATTTCCAGGATCCCCAAATGATATAGCATACCAGAATATACCTCCCCAGGGCCAGATTTTGCTCTGTTGCAATTGTGTGAATCTTCAGCAACAGAACATGCCATTATTCCAAACTGACAGTAAATAAATTGAGTAGAATTTGGCATTCTCCTCCTGAATACGGTCCTAACACAGGGAATTATTGAAATTTCAGTCCTAGCGTGGGTAGCATTTTAGGTAGAATTGTCACCAGAACCTTGTGAAATCATAGCACCTTGAATTAAATGACTATGTGATGACAGTCCATGTGATGAGCAACCAGCTTGGAATGTAGACATTACATTATTATCAAAGCTCTACATTCAATAGCAGGTAAAGCTAATGGATTAGTTTTGGAAATGGGGTCTGATGCAGCTCTTGCTTACAGTGAAAGTCTGCTGATTTCAATGGACTTAATTCTGACTTACACCAGGGTGAGCTTCAGTTGGGCCCCTAATATCTTTTAGGCTATTTCTCCAATAATGCATTCCAGCACAAAGAACTGCAGTCCAAATGTTCATGGAGATGAGAGAGTGAACAGAGTTTTTTCTTTTCTTCCTTTCTCCTCATTAGAAATGGAGAAAATCAGAACAAAATAAGAGAGAACCTACAAACTAATGGCAACCTCCTGAATCTCCTTAGTCCTAGGAGAAATCCAATGGTGCAACTAAATGCTGTTTCTCTACCCAGTAATTTAATTAGGATTAAGTAGGAAAACTAGTACATTTTAAGTACCTAAAATCTTGAGCCTTCCCCTTGCCCGACATTCCATTTGAAATTGTGAAGTTTTTTTCCTTCAAATGAGATGCTAGAAAGCGCAGCCCCTTTGAATTTTTTTCTTCAGCAGTGGTGGAGAGTTTTT